GAAAAAAAATTAACTTTTTGTTTTTCCCTGTATACTGATCAATTTTCCAATTTTCTTTATACGTAGAAAAAAAGTATTTTTTAGTTCCTACATAACCACACTTTTAAATTTTTTGGAACACTTAAAATAAAAAAGTTAAAGGGGGGCGAAATTATAGGGGATCACCCTGTACCTACTTAAATTAATTAGTATTTTCGTTCATTCCTATTATTCCAGAAAATAAGACCCCCGCAAACAACTTCAGTAAGATAAACACGTTGTTGACTCCACCAATTAAAAATTTATTTATTTATTAAAAAAACAATGTCGTAAACAACTGCCGCTGTTTACTGCATTTTTATTGGTCGCAATCAGGAGGTGTGCGTAGAAAGTTTTGTTTTGTTTTCAAGGACCGCGAAATAAATTTATGTATCGATCGCCACGTGCGTATTTTTTTAGGAATGTTTTTAAAAATTTGTTTTGAGTTGATGGCCTCTAAAAATGGTATAAAATGGAAACTTATTCATGTGGAATTGATATCCTAAAATTTTTGCAATTTTGCATTTATTACAATATTTTAGTTAAAATAATTTTTTTTATTGTTCTGTAGAATGACAAAATGTAAATAGGACGCTTTAATACATTTTCAAGGATTTTTTTTCCTATATTTTGTATTATTCAATATCACAAAATACAGACATAGTTTGAATACAAAGGGTGAACCAAAAAAAGTTATCTAGTGCGTCAGTATATAACGTTCACGTGGAGTCTCTTGAATATTAAATTTTTGTGTTTGAAGTTAGAGCGAGAATTAGACTTTTGTTTAAGATTGGTTGTCCTAATTTATTATTGTTAAATCAATTAAACTTTTTTGTTCACGGGGCAAAGTCTTTTTTTTCCTATTGTATTTTTTTCAGAACGAATTTTTTATTATCCACTGCAAACCATAATATGGTTTGCAGTGGATAATAAAAAAATATTATTACATATTATGTAGAAATTATAATAGTATTAGTAATGATTGTGATATACACCACTGTACAGGGTAATTCTGTATTTAGACAGAGTTTATGATAAGAGATAGGAAAAACTTTAAATACAAAAGTTGTAGGGTTTGTCCTAAATCGACCGAAAATGTTACGTAAAATAACAAATGAATATAGCAAAGTTAAGGTGGATTTAGACAGAATTTAATGTAATGTAACGTAACGTAATTTAATGTAATTTAACGAAAAATTGTGCCATTTATAAAACATTTAGTACATTTTTGTAAGCATGCGCAATGCAGACGTGTTGGTGTTTTTTGAAAACGATGTTGGCAAGATTGTGGTTGACTGAATGATAATTATCTTTACTTTTAAACATGATGTAATATAATTTAAGGAAAGTTAAAAGTTGGCCAACTTTCCATTACATTACATTATGTTAAATGCTGGATAAACGCGTCCATATAGGGTCAGTTTTATCTTTAAATTAAATTACGTTACGTTACACTACATAACATAAAATGCTGGCTAAATCCACCTTTTGTAAAAAATACAAACTTGGCAAATCTTCAATGGAACACCATAATATGGTAACATTATGGTAATATTATAACAAAAATGTTTTTTTCCTCAATTTAAAAATATATAATCATGTTGACATTTGTTTAGCCGTTTTTTAAATTTTTGCGTTTAAAAAACGTGACTATGTATTATTATTACCAACCATTATTATTACCAAATCGTAGTTGCCATAAAAAACAAATGGTTGGAACGACATTAATGATTTATGTGTATTAATTTATTATTTTTATTTAATTAATGGCGTTCGAACCATAGAAACTACGACTTGGTAAAGCAATGGATACGTTTTTTAAATGCAAATATTTAAAAAAACTGCTAAACCAAATGTCAACATATTATTTCATTAAAGATTTACCAAGTTTGTATATTTTACCAACATATATTTATTTCCTATTTTACGTAACATTTTCTGTCGATTTAGGTTAAACGATACAACTTTTGTATTTAAAGTTTTTTCCTATCTCTTATAATAAACTCAGTAGGCGCTGTATAAATATAGGGAATAACCCTGTACCTTGTCTGTAATTACCTTTTAAGCAAGATACATACACATTTTTGCATTAGTTTTTTATTTTATTTTCATATACCTACTTTCTTAACCAGGGACCTGGACCTGGTTTGGACAGAAAACAGGACCGGAACCGGTATTTATTTGTGGGCCGGAACCGTAACCGAACCCATATTATTTTTAAATGTAACTCTAGAGACCGAACCCGAACCCTTTAAATTTAAACGGGTTTTTTTCTTAATTTCTTTTTGCAAAAATTAAAAAAATATATATATTGTTTCGTTAAAAAAATCTATAAAATTATACACTCTAGCATAAGTATTGTTAGGGGTTGTTAATGTGTTAATAACAATTGTAAATATAAATAATTATTGTAAATGTAAATAAAAATAACTTTATTGGAGAAAAAATATGTCATATGTATAAATAATATCTACTAGGCAACACTGTAATTAATAAACTCCCACTAGAAAATATCCTACCGACTGCGCCTTGAAGTAAATAATACCAGAGTAGGTTGAAGAGTAATTTATTACTAATGACTATTCGCAAATTTGAAATCTAGGGGCGGGAATCTTGAGGTTGACCCAATATTTTACGATAATTGCACTAATTTAACGTGATGCGCATGCGTTTCGCATGCAAATGAATGCATTTGCCTACTTATGTTTATTTCGTTCGTATCGTAGTATTTGTTTTGTTAAGTTTTATTCGAACTGTTTAAATAAGTGTTGAGAGTTTTTTTATTTTTATAACGGACAAAAAGTTTTTTGGGTGAAATTAATGTTTCTTATTTTACCTTTATAGTCACTAACTAACTTAACTATTTAAGTACCTAAAATAGCATTGCAAATATCTCCTAGTGAAAAAACATTGTCCCCAAAATAGTTTGCATCTATATTTCGCAATTAGCATTTTGCATCCATATAAAACCTACTTAAGTAAGCGTTGAAAGGCTGTTTTCTGGTCTCAAATTTTTACTTCCCCCAACAGAATTTTTGGAGAAAAAGAACAAAAGCTGAAAGTTCAGTTTTTTATTTTTGGATAACTTATTTTAAATATGAATTTTACAGTTTTTTAATCACAAGATCAGAAGAAAAAGATAAAGGTAGCCAGCCGATCGGGAATATTAGTAAAGAAAAAGATAATAAAGAGCCTAAAATTGAAAAAAAAAAGAGACAGAAATTTAATTTCATCCCAAAAAAAAATTACAAAAAATTACAAAAAAAATAAGTGGGTACTTATTTATACTTTACTAAAATTGGAACCGAAAAAACCGTTTGGACCGAAAAGATTGGTCCGAATCGGACAGAAATATTTTTTTTAACTGAACCCGAACCGAAATTTGTCGTTTATCTCGGAACCGGACAGAAACCGTTATTGCATTTGGGTCCGGCTAAAATGTTTGTAGGTATTATGTATTATGCACAAATTTACAATTATGAAACTAGAAATATATATATTTCTAGTTTCATATTTTATCTATAGATAAAATAGTTCTACCTAAATGTCGTTTGCAAAAGTCTCATAACAATTTTGTATATTTGGGAATGCAACTATTAAATGAGGAGCGTTTATTCAAAAAGGGACATGTCCATTTTAGCGATTTGCAGAAACAAGTCAAAAACAACAGATTTCTTTTGCTTTTGACTTATTTCTGAAAATCGCTAAAATGGACATGTCCCTTTTTGAATAAACGCTCCTCAAATAAGCTTCCAGAAAAGATCACAAATATGGAAACAAAATTTTTTAAAAAGAATATTCAACAGATGAATTTTAAAATTTCTAATGGTAAGGTATTTTTACCTTATTTAAGTATATAAATTTTTTATCTTTAATTTTTTCTTAATATTTTTAAACTTTGTGAACTTATTTATTAATAAAATTTTTTATTCATACGCTCTCGTACATTATAGTTATAGTGCGGAAGTTTTCCAGCGATTACATAAAAATGATTGTATTGTGATATTATAGTTATTTTTTGCACATGTATAAAGATAAGTGTTTACTTTTTTAACTCTGATTTTTGTTAACATTTTGACGTCATCGCTAAAAAGTTCCGCGGTATAATTATTATGCTTATATTATGTTTTATATAGGTAGGTACGTTTTGTTGTAAATTTTGAAGCTAAATATATGTCTATCTCTATTATTCTTTGTTTTTTATAAACTTTCTTCATTAATTGGATTTTTCTGTTGGGAATAAAGTGATTATTATATTTGTTTGCAGTAGTTATTTGGTAATTTATAGAAATTATGTTAAAATTAAACTTATATAACAAAATATTATTACCGCAAAAAAAACATTAAATGTTCAAAATTAGTTATAAAACATGTCAATGAACTTAGTTACTTAAGAATAAAAATTGTGCAAATTTTGTAACCTTGTCTTTGTTATAAAATGCTTGAAAGATCATTAATATCATGATTATTTTACCACATGTTCACATAATAATTTAAATTAGAATCCGTTCATATCAGCCCAATTAAAACAACTTAAAAACAAAGAAAAATAAATGTGCATTGTCTATAAAAACAGCTGATCATTTTCTTTGTTAGGTATTGTCAAGTGTAATAATTATTCAAAAATAGGTACATTTTAAAATTTAGTAATATCTTTGATGAATAATAACAAATAAAATTAGAGAGCCTTTCCCTGGCCAAATGCCAATAGAATTTGCACGAATTATCGCATTTTTGAAGATTAATTAATCAATCTAATAATGTGATTACAAATTTAATCTATTTGATTTTTAAACCTTCGTCCAAGGTGACCAAAAACACATTTTATAATAAAAAATCCTGAAAAGAACCGGTAATCACAAAACTACCCTTCCCTAACGCCGAAATATTGATTTACAGAACCTATTACAATAAGTTACAAAGTAATGCCGAAAAAATACAAAACAACATATTACACATAAAAATAATAAAACCCTACATACCTTTCAGTCTTATTAACACAATAAACTGCATTAAATGTTGAAATTTGATGGTAAAATCACTAATTACTCTTACACCACCGACATTAAAACCTGAACTGAATATGACAGGTGAATTCAATTAGTTCCAAACTCATCGATCATTTGAACTACTTTGACCCCTTAATATATGCAACTCAAGATTCAATAGACACAACATAGGCAACCAAGATTACATAGCATGTACGAGGGTTATCTGGAAAAAAGACAAATTTATCGAAATAATTTATTTATTTAAAACTCGTAACATAAAGCGGTATCTTAAAGTGCGTTTCGTAGCCTGTATCGTTCTTTCAGCTCCGGAACTTCGATGTAATCGTTTGTTTCCCATGCGTCTTCGGTGAGTTGTTTTAATTCGTTAGAGGTGAATGTTTTTTGTACTGGAAGGCCGTCTGGATTCAATGAATGGTACGATTTTACTATTTCTGGTATTATGGGGCCTTGTGGATGTGCGTTCTGGGAAAATGGTATGTCTTCTCCTATACCTTTGAGAATGGAAGAGAATTTCGTGAATTGAAAATGCTAAAAAAATTAATTTTAATTTTTTTAATTTTTTTTAAGATTAAATTATTATACCTCTGGTAAACAGTGATGATGTAAGCAATAATAATTTATATTATTGGATTTATGACACCAAGTTCCGTCAGGGAAATAAGGGGAAACCCCTAAGTCATTTAGTTCTATTCTTGGTGTATAGTAACTTTTTGAATCTGCTCTTTTACAGAAAATTGCGCAACCCATCCAAACACGTGCTAAAAAATGTTAACCAATGATTATTTCTACTTTTTTTGTATTAATTTAAAAAAAACACTGGTAAAATGCAAATATTGTTACTAAAAATACCTTCTTCATGAGGTGCTTGTAGGCCAGCCCCCGTTTGGTCAAGATCTAACACTAAATTGGAAAATTCTTTACATTTCTTTGATGCGTACTCTATTACGGATTCTTTAGAAGTACACAGCTAAAAATGCAAATTTTAACAAATAAAAAACCTTTAAAAATATTATAATTTATACATTGCCATCATAACAAAGGCCAAATTCAATACTACTCCCTTCACAACCTTCATCTGTATTAACAGGAGTCGGGTTGTTACAAAACCTTTTTTTCATCTGATAACCTAAAGATTTTTCTACGCAACCTGAAGAGCAGGTAGCAGGTTTCCACGCGCTCCACCCCCCTGGTACTATTTTAACAGGTTTAGGTTGTTTAGTAACACAATCACCCCCATAACAATACTAAAAAAATAATTTAAGAACATTCCAAAAACATTATTTTAAACATTACTTGTTTTAGTCCACACTGAGTGCCATCTAGCGCCGGTCCAGCAAAGTAATACCCGCTCCTATTCGGCGTTTTACACTGTAAATTATAACAAATAGTATTTAACTGTTGGTTAGGGGACATTATGGCGTCTCTATCTCTTAACAAAATCTCGCACTGTCTTTTGGCAGTGTAAAATCTACCGGGTGTGTCTGAAAATTTACTGTGATCCAAAAGTTTAGGGCCTGAACCCCAGTCGGTTAAACAATCGGCCCAGTTTAAGTTTGACATTACGTTGGCACTGCATGATGACCATGTTGTTTCACCGTTTGTACCCCTGCTTGGGGACATTATAAAGCCATCTTTGAGACAATTGTTGCCTGTACTGTCGTGATGCATACCCAAGCTACAAGAGTAATGTTAAAAATATATTAAAGAAAAGCAGAATTTTCCGGCATTTTTTTAATATTGACAAAACATCCTGGTGTAAAGTAGAAATTAACATACTTGTGACCTATTTCGTGAGCCAAAATATAAACGCTAGTAAACCCAGCGCTTGGATAAGGTTTCTTAAAAACATTTGTGGTACCCAATTCTGCTATTAGGCATGCGTACTTATCCAAGCAGACTCCGCCCACTGTAGCTAGCCCCATTGTTACGCCACTCTTTTTGCCATTTTCTATATGGTAGAAGTCCAAACTAAAAAATAATATAGGTTTTATAAATGCCAAATTCAGGAACCTAGTGGTTTGGACAGGATATGTATGACTATAGTCACAATAAGAAAATGTTAAAAACATTCTAGGTTGTAGTAAATTCCACCCAGCCAACAAAGTCAAGGTAGTGCTACTAGTAGCAGAGGGTAGCGCTACCCTCTGCTACTAGTAGCACTACCTTGACTTTGTTGGCTGGGCACTAATAAGACATTTAAAAGTTTCAGTAAGATTGTCTAACATTGCCCTTGTGGAAATTTTTCTCTGAAAAAGTTTTAATAAGTAAAAATAAGAGTTTTAAAAGTCTTACTTTCTCTTAAAAAGTCTGAATAAGTCTGAAAAACTCGAATAATACTTATTAAGTCGGAAAAACTCAGAAGAAGAGTTAGTAAGTCAGAATAATAGCAAGATTTGGGACTCTTCTGGAAGAGTTAATAAGACTTATTAAGACTTTCAGCAAAAAAGTTATATAGCGATAAAAATAATTATACGGCATTATTGAGAGATGTTGAATTTTGTTGGAAAAAAATTAAAAAGAAGATTTCTTCTTTAATATTTTAGGTAATATGTTAGGTTATAAGGTAGGTTAAATAAATGCACTATAATAGGAAATAACTTTTTATTTTATTATAAATAAGATATTAATATTAATTAACGAGTAAGTAGATAAAATTTATCAATTTATAAAAATACCACTTATTTAACAATATAACTATATATATATAACTCTAACTACATGATGTCAAAAATGACAGATGTCAACAATGGCAGATGTCAAAAATGACAGATGTCAAAAATTACATATTAACAAGTAGATAAAATTTATCAAATTATAAAAACACCACTTATTTAACAATGTTACTCTAACTACATGATGTCAACAATGGCAGATGTCAAAAATGACAGACAATTTATAAAAACACCACCTATTTAACAATATTACTACATGATGTCAAAAATGACAGATGTCAACAATGGCAGATGTCAAAAATGACAGATGTCAAAAATGACAGATGTCAAAAATGTATTAAAAATGACAGATGTCAAAAATAACAGATGTCAAAAATAACAGATGCCAAAAATGATAAATGTCAAAAATGACAGATGTAAAAAATGACAGATGTCAACAATGGCAGATGTCAAGAATGACATATGTCAAAAACGGTAGATGTCAAAAAGACATCTTTCAAAAATTAACATCTGGTAGATGTAAAAATTGACCTGTGGCTGATTAAATCTTTCAAAAATGACAGATGTCAAAAATGACAGATGTCAAAAATGACAGATGTCAAAAATGACAGATGTCAAAAACTAACATCTGGCAGATGTAAAAATTGACCTGTGACTGATTACATCTTTTAAAAAATTACAGGTAAAAGTTGACAGGGTACAGATGACAAAATTTACAGGCGACAGCTAATTTTTGACATCTGGTATTTTTTACGTATGTCATTTTTGACATCTGTCATTTTTGACATCTGTCATTTTTGGCATCTGTCATTTTTGACATCTGTCATTTTTGACATCTGTCATTTTTGACATCTGTCATTTTTGACATCTACCGTTTTTGACATCTGTCATTTTTTACATCTACCGTTTTTGACATCTGCCATTGTTGACATCATGTAGTTAAAGTAATATTGTTAAATAAGTGGTGTTTTTATAAATTGATAAATTTTATCTACTTGTTAATATGTCATTTTTGACATCTGTCATTTTTGACATTTGTCATTTTTGACATTTGCCATTGTTGACATCTGCCATTTTTGACATCTGTCATTTTTGACATCTGTCATTTTTGACATCTGTCATTGTTGACATCTGCCATTGTTGACATCATGTAGTTAGAGTAATATTGTTAAATAAGTTGTGTTTTTATAAATTGATAAATTTTATATACTTGTTAATATGTCATTTTTGAAATCTGTCATTTTTGACATCTGCCATTGTTGACATCATGTAGTTAGAGTAACATTGTTAAATAAGTGGTGTTTTTATAAATTGATAAATTTTATCTACTTGTTAATATGTAATTTTTGACATCTGTCATTTTTGACATCTGCCATTGTTGACATCTGTCATTTTTGACATCATGTAGTTAGAGTTATATATATATAGTTATATTGTTAAATAAGTGGTATTTTTATAAATTGATAAATTTTATCTACTTACTCGTTAATTAATATTAATATCTTATTTATAATAAAATAAAAAGTTATTTCCTATTACAGTGCATTTATTTAACCTACCTTATAACCTAACATATTACCTAAAATATTAAAGAAGAAATCTTCTTTTTAATTTTTTTCCAACAAAATTCAACATCTCTCAATAATGCCGTATAATTATTTTTATCGCTATATAACTTTTTTGCTGAAAGTCTTAATAAGTCTTATTAACTCTTTCAGAAGAGTCCCAAATCTTGCTATTATTCTGACTTACTAACTCTTATTCTGAGTTTTTCCGACTTAATAAGTATTATTCCGAGTTTTTCAGACTTATTCAGACTTTTTAAGAGAAAGTAAGACTTTTAAAACTCTTATTTTTACTTATTAAAACTTTTTCAGAGAAAAATTTCCATAAGGGTGACTACATGTTTTTGAAATCATAAACGATAATTTTATGGCTTATGACTGTGTCCAACCAAAATTATCAATCTGTCATTCTTCTCTCGTAGAGGCAGCTTTCCTACATGTCTGTGTATTGCCGCCTTACATGCAGTTTGATAATTTTGGTCTGTAAATTTATTACCCTGAAACATATAGTCCCATATCCCAATGCTTGGGATTTCCATCCCCTTTGGGATTTAAACTCGCCTGATAGGAGCAAAAAGAATCTAACAGTCTCCCTCTTTCTCCATTATAGTGGGGCAACTTAGGGGGCTGTTTTTTCATGATATCCAACCTAACCAATACCAACTCTAGGTTAGTACCAAGACTAGGATGATGGTACAAAGCTTGTACACCGTTAACATACGCTAAAAGCAAGTCCAGTATTTTTTTATCGTCGCGATTCACATACGGGGCGAATATTTTGTAGGCTGCTTCATCAAAAAATAGGGCTAATTCTAATTGCAGGGCCCCAACAGGTTTACCCCGGGATGCTTCTCTGTCCAAGTGGAAAAAATCGCGTTTTTTAATCATGTTTTTGTGGTGGATATTTGTAATTGGGAATATATCATTTATTAGATGTTCAGATTTAAAAGTTGCCCTTTTGATGATGTGAGGATTTTTTTCTTCTAAGTTTTCATAATAATCATTTGTTAGGGCTTCTCTTGTCTTTATTACACTTTGAAGTCTATCATTTAGAGGTCTAACTTCTAAGGTTGTGTTGTTCAAAAATATTAAACCTTCCTGGAATGTTTTAAATTACATAATATACAAAACAAATTGTGCAAAACAATTACCATAGTTTTTGGTTCACATAAGCTTACAGAAGCCACAAATCCATCGTTATTGTGTATATAATGACAAATATTTGGTTTTTCTGGATATAATTCTTGATCATTACCATAATGCATGTAAGTTGTGAAACTTGGTGATATAAGGTTTAGATTTTTTCTTAACTTTAAGTCTATGGTCCTATACATAAATATAACTTAATATCCACTACATAAATAATATTACCTTACCTTTTAAATGCATTAAAACTATAGGGTATTTCTTCATTCCCATTTATTACTTCATACTCACCAATTGCTTCATTATGTGAAATTATAGAAGGCAAAAACACTACCTCATACTCTGGTACATTTTTAAAATCGTCAGTTTCAAAATAATAAACCAATTCAGGTTCACTCATATACTCATGGATAGCCTCAACATTTAAAGCTTTTGTAAAATGTAAAAATACAAATAATAGCAACAATTTCAGAAGCATTTTCACTGGGATTTAAAATAAAACTGATTTATTTTTTAATGTTGAGTGGGTTTTTATGATTTTGTTGGATCTTATGCTGGTATTATTAATATTTTGAATATTTTAAGAGTAAGCTAACAACCTTTTGAAGTTGCAGGTGTTTTGAACAATACAAACAGTTTTTAGTTAGGATTGATGTATTTTTTATTGAAATACTAAAAGATAAGCCATTATTTCAAAAAATATTTAACAATTATAAAAATATATAGGGTGTTACAGAATTTAGTTCAGTAAAGATTTTTAGGCAAAAAAACTTTAACGCGGTAAAAAATATGTATAAGACATTATAAATAAAAAAGTCAATACCTTGAATAATATTTCCAGAAATACAAAGATTGTCTAAGATAAGGTAAAATTATCATGAAGTATAAATTTTGTCTATATAAAATGTATAGTTTATTAGAAGGGTATTACCTTACTGAATTCAATATACAGGGTGTTTCATAATATATGCGCAGGACTTCAGGATGTGATAGCTCATCCAAAAAGATGAAAAAAGTCGCTATTAACTTACCCTCTAAAATGCACAATTTTTGAGATACAGGGTGTTGAAATTTTAGAAAAAAAATCGTTTTTTTCGATTATATCTGGAACCGTTTGTCGTACAAAAAACAGCTTTTGTAAGCATTTTCTACTCATAATAAGCTATGTTTTGTGCCAGAAAAAATTTTTTTTGCTCATAATTGGTGGAGATTTTGAAGGGGTAGCGGGTGTTTTTCTCCTTAACTTCTACGCCCCTGAAAAAAGTACGGTTTTGAGAGGCCCATTCGAACCGCCAATGTTTTCTACACAAAAAAGGTACTCTTGGTCATAAGCTCTAAAGTTGACCGTTTTCGAGAAAAATCATTTTTTCTGGCACAAAACATAGCTTATTTTGAGTAGAAAATGCTTACAAAAGCTGTTTTTTGTACGATAAACGGTTCCGGAGATATTCGAAAAAAACGAATTTTTTTCTAAAATTTCAACACCCTGTATCTCGAAAATTGGGCATTTTAGAGGGTAAGTTAATAGCGACTTTTTTCATCTTTTTGGATAAGTTATCACATCCTGAAGTCCTGCGCATATATTATGAAACACCCTGTCACAATGTTCAAATATTCTTACAAAATCAATGCCCAGAACAAGACAAAAGTATTGCGAAAATATACAAACAATTCTGCACACAGAGTTTATAAGTATAGGTAATAACATAAAAACACTATTTTTCTTCTAAGGATAAATCCTTTTGAAATAATGCTAATATATTACCCATGTTCAAATACCACCAGAAAGTGTCGCGCTGGATAGATAATAATATAAAGAGATTTATAGATAATAATATAAAGAGATTTTTTTATCATATAGTAACATTAAAGTCATTATCAAATATTCCAAATAAAGCGCTAAGATAAGCAGTTTAAATCAGTCTCTATCCAGAATCTATCAAAAGGCTAAACGATCGTTTATCGATACTATTACCTTACCATAATATGACCTAATGGTAATATCAAATTTAATAATAATAATAATAGCAAGAATAATAATAATAATAATAACAATAAACCTTACCCAAATAATACCAATATTATAATAGTAATATAATTGTTAAAAGCTTTAGCCTGATACACTGAGTTTCAAAAACAATAAAATACATTTCAGTTAAATAAAAGTTATACAAAGTTATACAAAAGGAAACAACAAAATCAAGGCCAGTGCTATAGCTATAGCTTTTTTAAATATAAGCATATATTATAATAATTCCCGGACAACAATCAGGATTTCCTGGTGAAGTCGTGATGATATCACAACGTGATTTTTTTTATCACGCTGTGATATCCTGAGTGCATACCCATGCTTCATCACAGTGATATCATGTAGAACTCACAGTGTGATATTTGCAAAATTTGCGCATGCGTATGAGCCCTGCGAACTGAGAATTTAAAACCTAGTTTGTTATTCACATTACACCGTTATAATTTATAAAACTTTGTTTGAATATCACGAATGTTGTCCGGGTTCAATTAAAAAAGATATTCCATTCCACGCGTAACGGATGGGACAGTTGCAAGTTTTTATTTACAAAATAATATTGTTCTATTATATTAATATTACTAATGACAAATTTTTATAAATAGTTCTAAACAAAAGTTGTTTAACAAGGTTTTTATTTGGCAAAATTAAGTGTCGTGGTTGTCTGTTTAATTCCTTAAAAAATATTTTTTTTTATTCAAAAACCCTACTTTGAATAAAAAAAATAATTTTTAAGGAATTAAACAGTCAACCACGATACCTAATTTTGCAAAATAAAAACCTTGTTAAACAGCTTTTGTTTAGAACTATTTATAAAAATTTGATATTAGTAATATAATAGAAAAATGTTATTTTTTAAATAAAAACTTGCAACTGTCCCATCCATTACGCATGGAATGGCCGTAAACTTTTTCTTTCAATGTACGAATGTGGGGCAAAATAAATATCCGAACACGGATGGCATAAAAAATCACGACATGATTTTTTATGCCATCGGTCAATCGCAAACAGCGATGGCATAAAAAATCACAACATGATTTTCATTTCTCACGCAGTGATATCCGGATGATGTCCGTATGAATAAAATTTGTGAAAATCACGACGTGACCTTCGTATGAATATCACGAATGTTGTCCGTGTTATTATAGGTTATTAACCAGGAAACCTAAATTCATAGTTGAAGAAGAAAAATCTTGCTAAAAATATGAATAACTCAATTCTATTACTTATACCATAGAATTTTACCAACTTAAAATTTTTAAGTTAAAAATATTATAATGTAGATTTGGGCCCAACTTTTTCATTTGAAATAGTAACACAAGCACATATTGTTTTGGAATTTTCAAACAATCCTGCTGATATTGTTATAACTTGTATACCCATTTTTACTTTTTTCAGATATTACAAACTATTTTAAAGGTGTACATTTTTTCAAATATAAAAAGTGAGCATAGATAAAATGTATAGTTTATTATAAGGGTACTGAATTCAGTAAGGTAAAACCAGGGGCGTAGCTACCGCGGTATCAGCCGTATCAATGATACGGGGCCCCCGGCCAGGGGGGCCCCCGATTGGCTTCGACATGCGTAAGCAAAAACATATTAACCACTCTCTAAAAATGAATTAGTCAAAAATGACTAATTGTCATAGCGAAAAAGCAGCCACTAATAATTCTCGTCAAAAGCAATTTATATCCCGAACATTTAGCAGTCAATTTCCATGCAAAATTGTCCCCTAAATCCAAAAATGTCGTCAAAAGTTGGAAAAGTAGAACAGTTTTTAAGATATAGTCAATTTTCCATATAATTTGGAATTTACTATATCTCAAAAACTGCTCTACTTTTATAATTTTTGACGGTATTTTCGAATTCAGGGGACCATTTTACATAAGAATTGGTTGTTAAATGTTGGGATAACCACAATCCACACAACAAGGTCTGTTTGATCTCGTAGTAAAAATACTAAAAATCACTGCAACACTGCACATCATACGATGGGTGCCATTTTTGTTGTTTACAATTCTTGTGCTTTGGGTTTGTACATATTAATAATCGTTTTAAACGTTGTGTTGAGAGACTTGCAAGCCTTAACAGAGACCTCAAAGTGGTAAAAACAATCATTTTACTCCTCTTTTGTAAAAAATAAACCCCCTGCTTAAAATATCCCATAGAGACCCTGTTCAAACCGATAGATATTTGTATCAGAATGTATGGTGTTTCTATAGGGTGTATCGGTTTGTATAGGACCCATAGTTGGGATTTATGGTTGTTCTATAGGGATATCCACCCTTGATTTATTTGCTATTGGTTTCAATGGGGAAAATATACATAAATGTAAAAATTAGTTTTTCCCCCATAGAACCCTATAGGTTTTAATAAAATTTTGACAAATGTCTTATGGTTGCTCTATAGGGATATCCCTATATATCCTTCATTAAGTTATTTGCTAACGGTCTCAATAGGGAAAATGTAAAAGTTATGGTGTGCCTATAGGTAATTTCCTATACATTTTCTATCGGACCGTATCCGGAAAAAACCATGGACAAATGCACATATTGAATCCGGTAGCGACCGATAGATTATTTTGTATAGGTCCCTATGGGGTATTTTAAGCAGGGCCTTATTCTATCAAATGTCAATTTAAAGGTTAATTTGTGGGTTATAAAATAACCTTAAATTAACGTTCAAATTGACATTTGACAGCCCTGATAGAATAAGGTTTATTTTTTACAAAAGAGGAGTAAAATGATTGTTCTTACCACTTTGAGGTCTCTTTTAAGGCTTGCAAGTCTCTCTGTAAGAAACACAACGTTTAAAACGATTATTAATCTGTACAAACTCAAAGCACAAGAATTTTAAACAACAAAAATGGCCGCCATCGTATGATGTGCAGTGTTACAGTGATTTTTAGAATTTTTAATACGAGATCGAACAGACCTTGTTGTGTGGATTGTGGGGATAACCATGGTATAAGTAAAAAAGCACTCACTAATTACTACATGTAGTAATTATTAATTTTTGACTAATTCATTTTTAGAGAGCTGTTCAAAAAAGTCATGAAATTAAATTAATAAATAAATAAATATTATTATTTCATTGTTTATACCCTCCTGTTCCAACGATGCCGTGAACTCATACGAGTTGTTTCTGCTCGCACCTTTCCGCTATGAGTTGTCTGCGGCCCAGTCTGCGTATATTGTTCTGAGTCTGCTTTGCGTGTTATTATCAAAGGTTATATTAATAGCAATTTAGAAATAATTATTAGCGTTACAATTATTTCAAATGACTGTCCTTTATTTTAAAATAGAATCCTATTAAAAGATGTTGAAGAACGGTAAATGTCTAAAATCAGACCAAATTTTAAAATTTGCCTGT